TAATGTCTTTTTGTAATACAATTTTCCAATTCCATTATAAAATACTCAAGTTTTTTCTGCTAATTTAGTGAGACTACTTCTGAGCTACTGAACAGAACTGGCTATTGAGAAAAGTGATCGATAAATTCTCCCGGTTTCTTCTATAAGCAAATCGCCCTGAATTACCGCGTGAAAGTGCTGATTCCCGTATCTACGAGTAGGTAATTACGAGTTCCTCGATAATTACATACGGAAAACGCAACCACCGCGTGCCAATTTGTGACACGGTAACCGCGCATGATACATATTTAAATACATACATAAACCGATTACAGATGAATGGAATACTGTCTACTGACATTCCACGGTTCTCTGATCTAAAACTCGCCAAAAATACTATTTATGAAATCTATACTCTACAGAAACAACTGATACAATTTTATACGAGTAATGTATAAAACTGCATTCTCAATTGCACAGAATTGTCACATTTCTACAATTGAGGTAGAAAATATCGTAGTATTATTAAGAACAATGTTGATGAGTATTGTAATTATAATACTTGTAGTATATTTTAATAATATTAAAATAAAACTACTTCTTTATTTTATTTTATTCGATATTGCATAAAATGAATTGTCTTTCTGAACGTGTTCAATCACCGCAATCAATCGATGCACCACTTCGCACCATTACCCTAGTCAGCAATTAAACCCGTATTGCACTTTTCTTTCCGTGCAAGTGTAAATACGAGCAGCGTGGCAATTACTCATTTTGAGAAACATTGATTGCATCCTTCGTAAGGGACTTCCTCTGTGATTAATGGAACGTGACCGGTCGCACGAGGAAAAGGGAACACGAAAGCGAGCGAAGAGGGCTAAAACACAATTTCATACGTCACTCTCGGCGTGAGAAGATAACGAGCTACGCTTGGGAATTTATCCCCTCGTGTGCCGATCGTGTCTTTTTGTCGTAGTCTTGTTACCGTTAACGAATAGCATTTCCGAATCGGTCCACCTAACCAATTCCGCGTTCTCTTCAAGATTTAATTACAAAGGTTTGGAACGCCTTCTCATATCCTATCTCACAGACTGTTAATTCTTATGCAAGACATTTATTATATCATCCGAAGAGAAAATTCTTCAAATATATATAAGTTCATTTCCTTTTCCTATGTATATCTTTAAATCGTTTGCCTTCTTCAATGTTTATGTTCAAATGATAATTGCGATAATTCTAATGATGATAGAAAACAGTATAACTATAATGACATCTCAAGGCACATAAAACATCTGCAAAATCTAAGATGGCAAGGAAACATTGTTACCATAGCTCGATTAATACGAACATAAGGGAACGTTGAACTTAATAATGCGCGGGTTCAAGTACAATCTTGCCTCGCGATTATAATTATATTTCCTTGCTTAATAATAATTAAAGCCTGTTTGTATTTCGCCTAGAATCTCAATCAAGACGAGTTATCAACAATAATTATTACCGTGGCGGAACTACCATTTGCGGTTGACATACTGTAATCAACTAAGCGATCTTCCTGTTTCGACATGCACGCACTTGTTCGAAGAATTCCGAATGAAAAATTGATAGATGTCTTAATCAAGTGGAATAGTATACTGACTGTGAGACGTTGTCACGATACATGTCACCCCAATCAAAAACCATTGTACTATCCTAACTTCTTATTTATGCGAAACGCAGAATTGCATAATATAATTTTTTTTATTTCGTGCACCGATAAATGCGTTGCTAATTAAGATGGAGTGTCTATTATGCTACGAAATATGATTTCATCTAATTAAGAAATTGTCTTAATTAATTTTTATTTACCGTTTCAGTCTTAAGCACAGTCGCGTGGCAAACGGTGTAGCTACGGGCATGAAGCAATTTTTTTGTTCATATTACATAGAAAGGTACGTGCCGCAGCCTACACAGCTGGCATTCAACCGTTAACGTTTAAGCTACTATCTGCGATATCGTGCAAGTAGATTGCGAAATTTGATAAGCGATCAACTTAATGCATAAATCTAGAAGATTATTAATACATGTATACGTGATCTACAATCAAATCATTTATGATATATGTATAGTCATACGAGGTATTGATGATGTATAATCATACGAGGAACGAGAATAGCATTGTTATTAGTATTATTATAATTGACAAAAATTAACTAATAATTGTCAATAATATCAACTGCATTCAAGAAGTATCGACTAATTTGAATAAAATCATAAAAATCTTATTAGATGACAGCCAATAACAGTTTGATTTATTACCCATTATTCTATTGAATTATTCATTAATTTAATATTCAACACTCACATCCGCATTTCATTCACATGACTAATGCGATTTATCAAAATATCTCATATCACATTATTAATAAACAAAATTTAATTCATTTATTTTTCATCTCTCTTTTTCGTCAATGCATGTTACTTTAAAATTTACAATCAGCAATTTCTCTGTCAATCAACTGAAGGGATAACGATCAAAATTAAGTTTGGATACTGATACATCCGATTAATTGCGTAGGTGTAAATGACGGCTCGAATATGAATGACAGTCACGTGATTGTTAATTACAGATAGTTAAATTTGGACGTTGCTCAATGACTCAGATGATGTCAGTAAAAACCTCCCTAAGCATTCTTTTATTACGATTAGATAATAAATATTTCAAAATCACAACGAAATAGATGTTAATATACTTTCTTAAATTTAGATATATTTCTTGGAACAAGCTTGAGCAATTGTTAACGAATGAACATTCCTGAGTGTTAAACCTTTCATTGCAGCTACGCTTTACACAATGCCTACTTCTCTATACAAGTAGTTCAGTTATGTTAACACTAGATCCCACACGATGTTTTCTCCTTCCTGTTTCCGGAAGACAAAATAATTCTTTATCTTTATATGAAGTATGTCGATATCATGATTATCATTTACCCACTCGTTGCTTATACAATACTGAAGTTATCAATCTTTTCACATCACGTCATTAAATTATTTTTACTAGTTACTAAATCATAGCTGAAAGAATGAGAATGCTTCTCACGTTCTCATCATTGTCGTGCACGTTAGTTTAATGCATTGTCAAAATTCGTGATAATCATCAGACTCTCGTTTTCTTTTAAATGAAAATCGTAGTACATCTCGTGTTTTCCTAACACGCCCAACGTGGTGCACCATTTAGCTCATTTTCCAATCTAGCGTATCTTTTCCCGCGTGGGTACCGATTTACCGGTTTCGTCTGCTGCAAGTTCTGTCTGTGAGCAGGTTCCGTATCGCATTCAGGAAAAAGGCGACTTTTGCTAGGGTCCCAAATGGCGAGTGATACGACTTCAGGTAAGTGGGAGCAGAATACACCTCGGCCGGGCTTAGCCAGCTTTAAAGATCCGTGTTAGAGCGGTGGTTAGGCGTGCGAGAAGGTGAAGGTGGTATACACACGCGTGAACATGGCCCGTCGCAAATACGTGTCACACGAACTGAGTACATATATACCAGTACCCAATTGCGGGAATCAACAGTTTACTTGCACCGTTCGTTACTTGCCCGACTTTCTGCGGAGGAATCGTGTCAGATCGCGCGACGAGCATTCTCGTCATCATCGAATATCCACGAGTCTTTTCGCAGATTGATTCTCGCCCCGCGAAAACGAAAAGAGGTACGGCACCACATTTTATCTTCCCATTCGCACGCAATTTCGTACCAGGTGTGATCGTTAACATTGTCCCTCTTGTGCAAACACGCGGTTGATTTATGTCGTCACAAATGATCGCACGCTTCGCCGTAAACTGGTTAACGATGATTCGAGGTGAAATTAACTTGGCCAGAAAAAAGTGGCTGAGGGCAGTGTTAGTGAAATAATTTTTCATTTCTAAATTGAAGTTCTGCGGTGGGACTCGAAAGATGAGTAACGGTCCTTTTTAATTCTCGACCCGTGTTACGTCGTAAGTGTAAGAGGTATCAGTTTAAACGCAGATTTCTATAAGCATTCTATAAGTCGTTGAACCTTCTCGTTTTTATGTAGAACCAGATACGGAAATCAATTTATATAGATACATGGATAATTAAATCGCGACAATATAAATTTCATGTGAAACACAATTGCACGGGATTAGAAATTTTGCATTGACGCGTAATCCAGTGACATTATTAATCTAAACCAAGTTTCGCTTTCACAATGCACCCTACATTAGTTATTTCCTTATTGCATACAACTTATAATCCAACTAATGAGCGATACTGATAAAATAATGGTAATTAAATCTAATTTTATTACAAGATTGTAAAACTTGTACACCGTATTAGATAAAGGGCACAGTGTAAATTTTGCAGAATTTATTAAACATGTAAATATAAAGATTTCAGACGTAAAGTACAATGATAATATTCTTAATTGATGTTCAATTACAATTCCATTAATTTAAATCGAAATTTTTCATAAGTAAATAATTTTACGTCTCTTAAATTTTAGTTATTGGTAAATAAATACTATTTCCCAATAGTCGATAATGAATAGGCGATTGTTCATTGAGAATCAGCTGAATCACGACAACTATATTGAATTTATCCACGATACATCGTCACGCTTGATATCCCTCAGCAGCTTTGAAACCAATGCACCTTATTACGTTGATTTTTCAAGACAGCAGGGAAACGCGGCGCGTGCCGTTTTCCATTTCTCCTCGCGTTCAACGAATATATAGTTCACGTTTTACTTGGCGCACAGGAGCGAGATTTATACATGCACTGATTATTTCCGTGCTTGTGATATCCTGTAAACTAGCTGCTGTGCCCACACGTTCTGTGGCATCGCGTAAGGGAAAGCCAGTTTTATCTCCGTAATAGCTTTTTTTTAGATTTCCGCCAGAGAGGTTGGCTTTAATAGTTCCATCCTTAACACTAGATTGCCCAAGCAAGTCATTTTGACTGCTTTTGGGCAAATGTACAAATAGTAATGCATAAGNATGCAGTCATTTTGACTGCTTTTGGGCAATATAGGTATATACTAAGTTTCAGTCTTTCTAGTATTAATGCAAATGTGTTTTATTTCAATGTATCATTATTTTCAATTAACCTGATAACACGAAAATCGAGTTTGATCGTAACGGAAAGTTACTTTATCCTTCTCTCAGTTTTATCTATATCTGATTAACATCAATTTGATTGAATATAAGGAAATCGACATTATTCCATTATATGTCTTAAACTGTTCAGTTACAACTTCTATAAGAAAAAACCCGTCATCACAATTATGTAAACTGTTAGAAGGCTTGAGAACGATACTAAATATTAACGATCAAAGATAAGTACTCATCTCCTTTCCCTTAACGAACCGAAAAGTAATAAAAGCTGATATAAAAGAAAAGAAAGCAGATTTTCTACAATATTTGTTCAATCCCGGTACACCGTTTCCGTGTTTCTAATAGTCGTTTCATAAGTCTTGTCATTTTTCTTGAATCATTGATTTCCTTTTCATAAACTGTGTTTCATTAAGAATTTTAATTGTAATTTGAACTGCATAAGTATTTTAATTAAGACGACGTAACTTTTCCAAGATACTTCCCATATTTATGTATATGTAGTCCTTTCACGACTCATGTTTGTCTTACTTTTTGTATCGTTTGTCTGAATCATTCATCAACGAATCAAGCCTGATGAAAGTAAAAGTTTGGTTAGCAGGAAACTAATAGATGCTAGCTATGACTGTTTCCAAACGCGGAAAGGAATAATGAAGATAAGAACGAAACATATCAATCGCAAATGGGATTATTTATCGAGTTATTCCTTTTCTTATTATTTCGCCATGAATTATTCTTACAACATTCTTGAGAAATAGATTAACGAATTGAAAACTAGCGAACGAAGTATACTTCGCTTACTCAAAGAGAAACTTTCATTGGAACAGAGAAATGTCCAGCGAGTTTCTTTTGCTGTGTCTACTATACTTGGCAAGCGGAGCCGTGAACGGTATTCAGAGATGGGGTACGCAATTCGGACAGGCACCCCTGCTGGAACGATTTTTTTGGCGGACAATGGACTTCGCTTATCCAGATGAGGGGAGCAGAAGATTGGCGATGATGAAAGGCGATTTCATCCCGGAAAACGCGCTGCCAGTTGGCATCGAAATTTGGCGAAACAAGCTTTTCGTCAGCGTGCCAAGATGGCGTAACGGTGAGTACAATAAATAATAACTCATTATTAAAGATTTTCTATATGTCACTGTTTGCCTCGATTAATACCTAATTTAACTAATAAAATACAATATACTTTCCTATTGAAAGTTTCTCCTGAATCAATATTCCTGTAATTCTAAAATGAAAATCTGGCTAACAACTACATTCACCCAAAACTACCTTCGATTCTAAACTGAACAATCTTTGACTTGTCAGACTATAAAATTGTTACAAAAAGTAGAGATTGCTCGATGAATGCTCACAGTATGAAGATTTAGCATCAGAAACCGGAAGCTACCACAGTGTACAGAAGATCGCGGCGAATCTCGTCTGGGTAACTTCCGGCCCGTCGACAAAAACTGCCGAAAACCGCGTGCGACCAATTTCAATGGGACATTTTTCTGTCTCCGCCTCCGCGTCAACCAAAATTCTCCTCCACAAACATCAGCGATGCTGAATAAGCTTATTCACCACCGTCATCTTTTATTTCTCACTTTTTTCATGCTCTATCATTACGTGCGTTGGCGCGCGCCACGTTATTGTGTTAAAAAACATGATAACGTGTAATCGTGTTAGAAATTTGAAATGATAAAAATATCATTAGACGTCTTGTTTCTCAAGTTTCAATTTTTTAGTCAAGAATTATTTATCACGCTTAGTGTAATTGTCCATTATTGAATTTCAATAAGTCTTTCTATCATTTATATAATGTTTTAAAAACCAAAATACTTGCACGATATTTCCTTTTTTTTTAAGCAAACACTTCCTCTTTTTTTCTTCCCACCGATCTCCTCCGTTCCTCTATTCTTTCTCATTCCATTCCTCGTTTACATTCACTTTCCATTACGTACCTCACTGAAAGTTCTCTAAAACGCGTCGAAGCCCGCCGCGGTCTGTATTGTCTTTCGGGCAAATTGTTTTCACCCCGCTTTGTTTGCCTCGCTCTTTCTTCTGACGTCAGGTTCGTTTGAAACGTCAGACGCAGGCGATATGAAATATTAAGAGAGGAAAAGGAAGTGTCGGTTCCCTTCGAATTGTTCCAAAGGAGAACTGTCTTACGTTTCCCATACGAAATCAAATTTTAATTGCAATTCTCATATTAATGTAAGTTAATCCTACACACACATTTTTAATACGTTTAAAGATATCAATAAAAAAATGCCAATTTTATTGGAATTAACTACCAACCAAGAATAAATCAAATAACACAATATTCTACCATATGCAAACGTATTGAATAAAAATTTCGCTTCAAGTTTGACATACAAGATTCCGATCTAGAAAACACAAAAGGATTTTGAAAATGCGACGTGACATGATCTGCATGGTTGAATTGTCGAATGCAATGCGACCTCCGTCACGCAAATGTGACACGGGAAGAAAATGTCACTGTCTCATTATTTTCAATCGCTCACGGTTTATCTCGTTTGACACTACCAATGTGCACTTACGGCTTACAAAATTTTTATCTCAAGCCAACTAGATCTGCTAGATATGCGTTCTGATGAAAGTGGAATGCTGCATGTCAGCTATTCGGGGAGACTTACTGTCCGTCACGCAATTTATCATTCGCAATTGCAAAACGTCATAGTTTTTTCTGATATCTATCTCGCATTTATATGGTGCCGAGTAAGTATATTAACTTCCATTGGAAAACAAAATCAGATCTTACGAAATTCATTTAATGTTTCTATTCTCTGATTTTATAATTCTTAAAACTCCAATATTTCTACTCCCGATTAATTGAAATTTATTCATGAACCTAGCATATTCGTACGCTAAATTAAAAACAAACTATGCATACGTAATAAATACATAATATTAAATATAAGTCAGAGCGTATCCCAATACTAGTTTTGACCAGCTGCAACTAACGTCGTCAGAGCTACTACTAGTAGTTCCACTTTCCATTTAATCACAAATGTTGGCCAAAGAGAAAGTTTCAATTTTTTAATCATGCCAACATAAGTTGAATCAAATGAAACAACTACGACAAATAATTAAATAATAGGCAACTATATAATGAATATGAATATTGTAACAACTATTGTGTAATTGCACGTTCAACCTGTTACTCATACGAATGAATGGAGACAAATAATTTAAATAGAATTATGTATTGGACATTATAGGAATTCCAGCAACGTTAAATTACATATCGCTCGATACGAATCGTGGTGGTTCGCCGAGACTGACTCCGTACCCGAACTGGGCACAGAATAAAGCTGGTGCCTGTGGTAGTGGCCTTACTACTGTCTATAGGTACGTACATGAATTGAATTACCAAATGGTATTAAAACGCACTATTTTCTTGAAGAAATTAAAATAATACTTAGTAAATTCTTTGATCATTGTTTTCGAGTATAACTACCTTTTGTTCCCACGGGCAAATAAATCTGATAAACTGACAAATACAATTTTGTAGACATTAACATAATTAACTGCAACCGTCCCATAGCCACGAATTGAATGTAAACTATTGTTATTTCTACTTTCTAAAGAACAGAATAATGCATAATGGATTATCATGAAAGAATGGAAAATACAGATTTTCATCTGTTATTTAGTTTCTGTACCAGATAGTATACAATTTCGGTTGAGTAACAGGCTTAACTGCTGATAATGAAGTTTAATTGTTATGTATTAATTAATGAAGTATCAAATCTGTGAGAAGATTCTCTCGCTCTTGCGTTTATAATATTCATGTGAGAAGAAATACGTAACGTGTTCCTGATCTGTTGCAATAACCTACTTATTTTATGTTACACTATAAAATAATACAATAGACTCCCCGAATTAATAAGATACAAATACTCGAATGAAGAAATCTTCGTTTAATTATGAGAACAATTTGTTTCATAGTATTGAATTTCATTCAACGTCAAATATTAAATTACTTTCAATGAAGATCTATTATAAGAATTATTATTGCAGAATACACGCTGATAGTTGTGACAGATTATGGGTGTTGGATACTGGTACGATAGGTATCGGAAACACGACGATACAAGCATGCCCTTACACATTAAATGTCTTCGATTTGACATCGGATAAAATTCTCAGACAATACAGACTGAGGGCTGAAGATATCAATATGGTACGTAAAAATGTATAACATTAAGCCTGATACCTCCTGAATCACAAAAGAAAGACAATCATCGTTAACATGCTCTTTAATTACAACGACTTGTTAATATTCTTTCTTTGTAACAATTCCAATGATAGGCAAACTTTCTTGCAACAGTGTTCTTGAAACTTGTTACAATTGCAACGAATGCATTCCAGAAGCTTACCCTTATACAGTTTTTACCTGTTTTGTCTACGGCAACTTTTTCCAGTAGCTTGTGTAAATGAATTATGTGGCGTCTGACTCACACTTAGTTATAAAACTAGGACACGTACGACGAATCATCATTAATATTTAAAAAGTCATTCTAGAAAGGAAAACTATTCTGTTGATTTTCACATATCGAATTCATTATAAAGCAGTTAAACATAACTGGACGTAACATTATTGTAGAAATAATTAATTCTCGTAGGACCTAATGATTAATTGTTCCAAATGTTTATTTGAGCAAACAATGAAAATACTTTGAGCAGAATACTTTCATCGCTAACATCGCCGTCGATTTGGGAAGAGGTGGTTGCGAAGACGCGTTCGCCTACTTGTCTGACGAGCTGGGCTACGGCCTGATCGTTTACTCATGGCAGCAGAACAAATCTTGGCGTGTCACGCATAGCTATTTCATGCCTGATCCATTGGCTGGGGATTATAACATTGGCGGCTTGAATTTCCAATGGGGCGAAGAAGGGATTTTTGGCATGAGCTTATCGCCAATTTCTGCCAGCGGATTCAGGACATTGTTCTTCCACCCCCTCAGCAGTAGAAGAGAATTCGCGATCTCGACGAGGATATTGCGCGACGAACAATTGTCCCAAGACAGTTATCACGAATTCCAAGTAAGAAATTGTGATTTTTACGTAAAATCGAACATTTATGATATCAGTTTAAAAACTGTCTTTCAGATAAATATAGCATTTATGAATTCTGCACACTCAGTTTTCTTGTGAATACATAAAATCGCCGCAAATTAGAAATATAATATTAACAGGTTCTACCCGAAAGAGGACCACTTGGCCATTGCACTGCTTCTCTTATGGATGAGACCGGACTACAATTTTTCAATCTAATCGATCAGAACGCTGTGGGCTGTTGGAACTCGCAGTTGCCATATGCGCCCGAAAATCATGCGGTCGTTGCCAGACACGATGAGGCTTTGATATTCCCAGCAGATGTCAAGGTAAGTTGCTATTACTTAATCATGACAATTAATTTCTGATTCTATTAACTCAAAATCATTCTTCCTTTACCCTATTAATTTTTCTTTCCATTTATTTTGATACAATAAAAGAGGAGACAAATTGTATTTTTTCAGGTGAACCGAGGAATGTTGTGGGTCATATCGGACAGAATGCCGGTGTTTTTGGAATCAACGCTGAACTACACCGACGTGAACTTTAGAATATTAACGGTACCTGTACGAGACGCGATCGCCGGTACAGTTTGTGAGAGCTCCCCATGGGGACTGATCGGCAATTCCGTCTGGTGGGAATAACACTCTCTATTAGCTATCCAATCTACTCAAGCATAGATTTGTGATAGTACTATAAATAGATTGAGAAAAGATTAATTCTGACAACTGTATAGAACTGTATAAAGAAATATTATAACGTAGCCAATTTTTAACTTCCTCCGATTACCATTTTCCATCATTAAATATAGAATATCTGATAACGCGACGATTATTGTACGTTTTTCAAAATTATTTGTGAGTGTAGTCGACTCGTGTAAAGATATTAATAAAAAAAAGATACAATTACTATTATTATATAATTACTATTACCTACATTTAATCAATTAGTGTGTTAATACTGCATAATGCAAGAACAATGCGTGTCTGCATAAAAGATAAAATACCTGTTCGTCGTACTACAATGTTTAAATAGTACAACAGAATATCTGGTTATTTGGTTACTCGGAAATCTCTACAGTGAGGAAATCTACACACCTATCCATGTCACGATGTAATTACTACCTCTACAAATAAATTTCAATCGCACACAGACCACATACCATAATCGAGTTTCCTTACACGGTGGATGCATGACTCTACCTGTTGCAACTCCGCGGCCATTACACTTCTCTAATTAGTCCTCGGACGCGCGTGTAAAAACAATTTCAAGGAGAAAATAGCGCACGATCTCCCGTCAAGCGAGATGCAAAAAAATCTTCACGACAAATCTCGGGGTACGATCAAGCCACTTTTCACGTTATCCTTAACCGAAGACACAGCCAATCTTTTTCTCGAGCAGCTTAATTTACCGTCTACAAGACTATTCTCACTAACCGGCAGATAAAAAACCGAGATTTTTAGCGGCTTGAAAATCATTGAAATAGTCGTATTCAATGCCGTAATCGTAAATACGGAACGCGAAGATTTCCCTTGTCAACCATTTATTTCGTTCTCTTCTTGCGACAAGAAAATGCTACCATCTTTCTTAGGAATCAAGGATTCACAAAAAAGTTTCAGAAGGAAATATCCAATTAAGTATTGACGCTGACGAAAATTTCTTTTTTTCAAAATTGCGAAAAATGCTTCAAATAAAAGTTGTTTTCCTTCTAACTTCGATATTTAACGAGTTACGTATGATTATTT